TTCATTCAATCTTTGTATGCGGGATATTATTTTGTGATTCCAAGTGTATACATTTTCATATATATTGCATACTAATTTTAAAAATTCTCTCCCCACAACGTTTTCGCTGCTGGCTAACCATCATTCCATAGTCCCGCGAGGGGTGATTGCATCTTATGTAGGGAAGTCTTACGTTCTTTGAGGAAATCAAGCGCGGAAAAAGTCGCCTTACCAACTGGCATTTACTGGGGTTTTGGGGGAATCGAACCCTGGGCACAGCGGTGACACCGACTCCATTATCGGTTAGGCCAAAATGGATCCCTTACAAAGCATTGTTTGCAATCAATCTGTATCGATGAATTGGGCTGAATGAATGTGTATAGGATGTTAGACAAGGTCCCTTGAAAGATTATATGCACTCAAGTGCCGTCGTGATTAGAAAAACCAAGGGTACATCTCATGTACTGTAATTAGAACGTGTATCATATCATGTCCTTCGTCGTGTTAAAAAATGTCACCCATTGGCTAAAATATTGGGATTTTGCTCTAGAGTTCAGCATGCCTTGTCCATATTATTATTCCAAAAACATGAACGAGTACCACTGGGTGAATTTTTCCGTCGTTACCTGGAGTCGCGAGTATTTTAAAGTTTGTATGGATCAAGTGCACCTACGATAGGTGAGTGAAAAATTATCATGGATGGTGGTACCCATCTAATTCTGGCATGAGGTCCTTGCACATCAGAATATGTGCAATTTTTACTCTTCACCAGGGCAGAGATCGAACCCTCTGCCAATTGAAATGACTAGTACCCTCACTTTGCAAGCAAGGGCAGTCCGAGGATACCTCCGCGACATTTGGTGTGGTGATTAGGGTAAGCTAGCGAAAGGTTAGATGACCTTGTCAAAGAAGCACATTGCGTGTGAGGGGTGAAGGATTAATTTGCGATCCCCATGAGGATAGTGCTACACTTTTTTGTTTAGAAACCGTGTGATGCCCATACATTCATCCATGAATTATTATTCAAGCATATATTGGCAAAAGCCAGGTTCGAATCACAACTGGAAAATGCCTTCTCGAATGATTTCTTCACCGTTTCCACACTTATGAACTCCCAAGCCTTGATGGCTCGTTCGACCATTTTTCATTATTTTCGGCGCAGAAACGACAGGTTTCTCCAAGAGCCACAACGCACGTAATCTCGGCTTCAGTGGTCCATGATGCCAACGTCAAGAGGCTGGCAAGCGCTGGTTGAGTTTGGGGGCAACGGCTCCAAGAAGCCAATCAACTCTTCGTCCACGAGCTTGTACGGTGACGACCACACGTGGGTGGCAAGATTGTCGACGAGCAAAACAGTGTGTCCAATCAGGTCAAACTTCAATAGCTCCTTGAGATAAAACTCCCACACGGCATCGTCCATCGAGGCATTTTGTTGAACGTATAGATGACAAGATGGGAGTGTCGGAAATTCTTCAGACTGGATAACACCGCCTGGAGCACCCCTTAACACAAAGAGAATCGGTAGCTTCGATCCCAAGAACGAATTGAACCGAATACGTAAAAAACACGCCATACCATCTGCGCATGCTGCCATGACAGCAGTGAGGCGGTTAGAGTGCTTCTCGGTCGAGTTATCTCTCGAGACTTCGCCAACCTCAGCCCACGTGCGGCAGGGGGCCATGTCATAGTAAACAGGTGTTTCGTCGATGTTGACAATGAACTCTTTAATTCTACTAAACAATTCTACATTTACCAGTCACGTAGCGGATGCGCACCTTACTTGGTCCAGAAAGAAGTTGCAAAGGTTATCTGAACAAGTTCGAGCTCCGCGTGCTTCAGATTCGAGTAACAAGGAACACGCTGGGCAAACCCATGACGGTGTGCATATTGCTGGCACAAGCCCAAGATCGATTTATATGCTCGCTCTGTCGTCGACTTGGTGTTGTAGTAGTCTTGAATCCACATGGGGTAATGGTTCTTGATCCAAGTCACCATATGCGCAGTTGTTAGTACATGACAGTCTTGTCTCATCTCTTCCATGAAGTAAGAGGTCTGTGCGAAACGGGATGAGCGCTGGCCTGCTTTGGCCGCCGAATGTAGAACGGTTTTTGTTGCCAAGATCTTTGAGGTACTGATTTCCCTCGCAAAGCCGAACAGGTCAAAGTGAATAATTTCGATATTTTGTGAAAATTGCATAACACAACCCGTTTGACTTTGCGAGGGAAGTTAGTACTTATCATTCTTGCTCAACCACGGTTGCCATGTAGAACGAGGTATGCCCTCAATCGCACAAATTGCATTCGCGCTGAGTGTGCTCTTTTCGTGCGCATGAGGAGGACGGTTCCAGGCATTTCAAAGATTGAAGTTGACAGTGTCTCAAATCAACCAATCAGAGAACCCAATTTCATTTTTTATATTTGTCCAATCATGATACTGAGATTGAGTCCGAACCAATCAGAGATCACGAAAGACGCTCAAGGTTTTTTTCCAATCATGGACTAAGAAGCAAAGAAGCAATTTTTGCTTCTGGTGTTGTGTGCAAATTTAATGATGTTACAACGCTTGCGAGTTTTTCCCGGTTCACTGTAGTTGCTCCCCCACCGTCTATGATGCTGTCTTGCTGTTCTGGGCAGGAGGGGAAAGTCTATGGTGCCAGTCACATTTACAGTACACAACAATGCACCAATATTGGGTTTTGATTTTTCTAGGATTTTCGGACCAATAAATCTTTCTAAAATGCATGTCGACTGAACAATGATTAAATCTCTTTTGGCTTCCAAATTCCTTTCTCAACAGTTTTCTGGAGCATCGAGGGGGCCAGAGGTTGTTAATTGGCCGATTTTTGCGCATTCCGTTCGTTAGCTCTTCCAAAATATGTTACTTAAGCCTTGAAACTCTTATACGCAATCCGCAATAACTTCGAAACTCTGTTAGAAATAACATAAAACAACCTCATGAACATTTATTACTAATGAAATTCAATACTACTCTGGTCCGAAATAGTTGCTGCCCTCGTTTGACTTTGTTAAATTATTGTACCCACCAGAAACTACTTAGTATTTGTATATCACTCCAAACACAGAAAATTGAGGCCAAAAATATTATGTATTTTTATTCAATTGCCAAAGGACCTAGTTCTTCGGAATTCAGAAAGTTCAGATGGATCGAGGCACTCTCGTAGTTATAGACATCGCACTCCACGTTGAAGGTCGTGGAGTGGGTTATCATCTCTTCCTACTTCATGTGAGGGAGCTTATAATCATTGCCACCG